AAGAAACATTATAGCAAAATACCTACCATTGTATCTTCATTAAAGAATTAGAAACGCTCAATCCAGGGGCATCAGCACCCAGGCTATTAACACCTGTAACATCCGAATTCTCGAGAGATTGATGATGAATTTGTCCCACTACAGAACTAACACCCACTACTTGCGGTTTCTCGGCCGCCAGCCTACCAAAAACATTAATCATATCCCGGAACACATTTGTCGAATTATCTTGTCGATCGTACCATCGATAAATAGATCTTAAGAATACTCCATCCCCACCGCACACACCCCGAAATATTTCCATTGCAATTACACGCTGCCATAATGGGTTTTCGGGCTCCAAAATTTTTATAAACATTGCTAGAAAGATTTCACATTCTGTTACCTAATTTTTTAGATTTAAAGTAATTGTTAATAAGATGTTTCAATGATTAGACTCTATCAGGATTAACAAGGTATGTTAATTAATATTACCAAAATCTCGCTAAACTGTTTAATTAGTATATATACAACACGCATTAAGCGCATGGTTTGCGGGAAATCGTGCTTATCCGAAAAAGTCTTAATTATTAACGGGCATATGCGCTCTCGCAATACAGACAAAAATTCCGGATGCTAATTACGATAAAGAAAACTAAATTTAACAACTGATCGCGAATTTCCGCAATTCTTATGTCGCTTAAGAATTTTAAAATCAATATTAATAATAACCTTTTTAAAAAGTCTTAGATGATTGGTCAACACTGATTCAATCAATTCCAATCCAAAAGTCCTCGGCAAAGCATTCAGTCGCAAAAACGTGGCCGGCTCCAAATTAGTCAATAAACACAAGTCCTGAAATAAAAAATACGCATCTCTAGCACAAGGTCTAAGCGCAATTTCGCCATGTCCATGAACGGAAACCACTGTCGAGGTTGGTTTTATTGAACCTGCTAAGATAATTAATCGGCCAAATCATATATGAATTTGTATTATAATGATCAGAAATTTTATAGCTAAATAAATTAATCATTAATAATAATGCCCAAATACACACACCATTTTTTTCGATAATCTCATCTTCCTTTTCAACCTTGTCAAAAATATTAATTACCAGCTGCCGTAATGTCGCCGCTGCGGTATTATTCACTGCCATTATTTTGGAGTCTTGTAGTCGGAAACACACAAGTAATCCCTAAACATATGCATTGTTTAAAACCACCACACACACTCTGTCAGAGAAATTTGTAAATATAAATAAATCGATTACCACCAACTCACACACAAAGAAATCATTCAAAAAGAAAAGAACCAAACTTCGACCAACAGATCTCCAGTTAAAGTCGAATAATTGTTCAGTAACGGGGGTAACGTTTGTAGAATCTTTAGCTGTACTTCGACTCCCTGAGAGATTATGTCGTTCAATGTTTTGAGAATTGTCTTCACTGACGACTAAATAGGAAGATGAATGCGATCTAGATTTTAGATTTTGCATGTTCATTCATAATTGAAAAAGTTCAAGAGGACTTACCTCTGGAATAGCATGATGTGATATTAATTTTTGAATTGAACCAATCGAGATAGTAATTAATTTTGCATGTCTTGTTTCACAAGCGAGTAAAAATGGTCGCAAGAAATCAACATTTTTAGCAAGCTCTACACGAATTTTTAGGATAAGCATATAATCAATTGAGTATTAATCTATAGAAATTGAACGATGAAAACTCTTAGGAAGCCTAACTACCTTGAGTGATATCCATTCCTGGACGTTCTTTTAACGTGCGTAGTATGTATATAGATCTCTCGGCTGCCTAGGATGCAAAAAGAGAATAATTAAACCACTAAAAAAAGAAAAGTGCCAGAAAAAAACTAGCTGAGACCTAATTCTAACCTCTTTAATTTCTGGATGTTTACGTCTTGCCTCATTTGACAGCTGAAGTAACTCAGCATTGAGTGAGTTGGTTAGTCCGCTCATTATTGTGTTTTAGCTGTAAAAACAAAATAAAAATAATTATACGACAAGATAGATGTTGATTTACGTCCTAGAACAACATCACATGACTATATCTTTGAGAAACAGAGATGTTATTTAGAAAATTATGTAATAATAAATATATTACAATTTATTATCTCATCAAATGAGCTGAAGCAAAGATAATTATTATTTTATTTTTATATAAATAAAGAAATTCGTAATCATTATATAAATTTTATTGAAAGGTTGAATTGCATATATTTATAAGCAAGACTGGGAATCACTATTTATTAATTTGTATATAAAATGAAAGTATCTGAACCAAGGCTCTGAACCAAGGCTCTGCACACAAGATGAGAAAGGATCGGGTGTCATCGCACTTGACCCAAGTGTGAGGACCTTCATGGAAGATTACGATCCAAGTGGATGATGATGGCATCACTAGGATATACCGACTTTGATGCACACATGACACAATCTACGGGAAGACGCACAAGCATAAACGTTATAGGTTTCGACGTGCCTGCCATGTGGCGCTTTAATTAAAATTCACAGTCTTGTGGATGACTACCATCACAAATTTGCCAAATGGTTATACGAAAATTCCATGTGGTGAGTTTAAAGCTCAAGATATGATACGCCGCGGGGGATTGACGCATCCGTTCCAAGATAGCAAGAGCAATGTGCACGTGGGCACATTATCGTTTCCGCCAGCACCCCTGGTTCCGAATTATTTTATGCACGGAGGAGTAACACTGGCATTGCGCTCATCTCCATAAAAAGTTAAAAGTATTCTAAGGAGTTCGTTCTTTGAAATTCTTTATATCTTATTGATTGATGAAAGGAATTGTATATATAACTCGCAAATTATAAAAATAAAAGATCATTTTCGTTTCTAGCTTATCGAGATATACATGAGCAGTGAATCAATTTTAATATAATGGCTTGTATTGTCATCGTCAATTTCTTTAAACAGAGAAAATATAGTCGTTATGGGTGATTAAAATCAAAGCTAGAAATCAGAGAAACACCGACGCATTTATCTATAAGATGGTATAAAAAATTTGAATATATCTTTATACCACATAGGATATAAAAGATTCAAATTTGATTTTTCTGATAGTGATTCCAGATATACTTGATATCATCGTAACATGCTTTATCTTCCACAAATACCCAAACTATGTAATGTCATAATTCGTTTTTTTCCTCAGATTTAGACTTTTTTGTATTAGTCCAGACAGAACATCATTGCTGTTACTGTCTTTCCCAACTACGGAAACTTGCCTATCAATATTTCCCATATGTCAGGATAGAAACGATCATTTCATGTCACATAAAGGTCCTTTGTTATCCTTGTGAATAACAGCCCAAGGCCTTCTCATATTATATTATTAAATTTACAACAGCGCCATTCTATGTGAACACATACGTGCATAAAATGTGCCGATCTTTTTTTAAAAAAGTCTGCAATTGTTTTTCAACCACCTCGTCATTACATATTTTAAGCAAATAAATATTAAATTTTCCCGAGTCCTAATAAATAATAATACGAACTAAATGCACAACTATACAACACCACCGCTCAACTCCCTCTCCAAATCCTCGCTCTTCGCCAAACCAGGTGGTGGTTGATAATGACCAGTACCAACTACCAATGCCTCCGGATCACGAATCGCAGTCGGCGAATTCAAAATCGTGTCACGATCCGGAATCCTCGATAATCCAGCATTGGTACTATTTCTTCCTCCAAAAGGGACATTCGCTGCGGATGTACTTACGCTAAGTTGTGGCAGTTGTTGACGGCGTACAAGTGCTCGAAAGTTTGCAACTTCTTCGGCAATCATTATTCGCATTTGTTGTGGATCATTGATTGATTCGAATGATGAAAAGTCAAAAGTTGAGTTGCATACGGGCTTTATGTTTTTTTATTGGAAAGTAAAACAAGAATTTTAACTCTGGCTTACGGTAAATCATAACAAAAAGTTATTACTATTTACCTCATCATTTGGATCATGCCATACAGCAAGATACGGATGTTCTAATGCTTGTTCGACTGTAATGCGTTGAGATGGATCAAACGCAAGCAAACGTTCTATCAGATCGATTGCTATTTATTATTTAAAATTTCAATCAATGTTAATGTAATCAATAAAAGAACAACAATAATAAAGGGAAAATTTATATAAATAAAATACCTAACGGATTGGCATTAGGAAATAATTCTTGAAACGGTTTTTTATGCATATATGGAAGATTACGGATGTATTCTTGGGCCTTTTGATCAACAGAAAATTGAGCTATAGTTGCATCAATGATAACGCAAAAGACTCGATTATTACTGATTTATGTTACTTACCCTTGGGCTCCCAATCCTTGTTAATGTTTCATCGTTCGGAGTACCTAATGTTTGCAGAATTTGATTTAACTGATCGACATCTTTTTTCGATATTGACATGGTTGCTCAGGAATAATAATAATAAGATCATCGATAAATTAATTTAAAAAAAAAACTAATACATAAAATAATGGAACAATCATAAAGAAAGGATACAATCACGTCCCTTAAACAAAGGTACGCCACCCAACAATTCAGCCAGAATACAACCTACTGACCACAAGTCAACTAAAAAATAAGGAATTTAGGAGGTCACTTCAAACTAAAAGAATTCATAAATCTAAAGTACAGTGATAATTTCGACTCTCACTCACTAGCTTTAGTATAACTCTGAAAGCTCAACATAATTTCTGGTGCACGATACCATCGAGTAGCGACATATTCAGTCATGAATCCTGTATTTGCTTCGGGATCTTCCGAAAATCCACGAGCAAGTCCGAAATCGCAGATTTTGAGTTCGCAATCAGCATTTACGAGTAAATTACCTTGTTGTTAAAAGTCGAAAAAAGCAATTAATTGGAAAAAACGCGTCATATATAAAGAATTAAAAGAACATATCAACTTAATAATTCAATTGGATTAGTATTTAATAATACTTCATTATAATTGAAATACCCATCCGTCTCCCACAATTATACGATTATTTTTACTATACCAGGCTTCAAATCTCGATGCAACACATTCGCGGAATGAATGTATTTCAAACCGCAAAGAATCTGATACGTGAAACTTTGATAATGCGCGTCCGTTAGAGGTTGTTTTGAACGAATAATTGCATGAAGATCTGCTTCCATTAATTCTTCATAGAGGTAACTTTTTTTAATCAGTAAAAGATTACAATTTCATTCTCATTAGTTAAAATTGATAAGGATATGATAGCTGGAGTTTGTTGAAATAGAGATCGACTCACATTTCGTTATAATCTAAAGGATTTATTATATCCATGTCGAAAAGACACGTGATCTATATATTTAATTAATCGAATTCTACGTGAATCTTGCAAGGTAAACAAATGCTGATTTCTTTTTATCTCTAACCCACATTTTTATGACCCCGAAAGTGTTGCAACAGCTTAACCTCCCTCAATGCTCGTTTCGTAAGAATGGTTTTATTGAATACATTGGTCACTTTTTTAATTGCAACTCCTTCATTTGTTTGTGTATTGCGTGCAGCACTAATCACAAGAAGAAATTATGAATAGCTCAATTATTTATTAATTGATTGATTGATATTAGATATCGAAAAATTCATCGGGTTTTTTTTACTAACAAACAATTGTACATATTTTTTTAGTAGAATATTCTTTACCATACTACACCATAAGCACCTTGACCAAGTTCGCGTATAAATTGATATTTTTCGTCAACCAAGAATTGTTGGTTTAGCACAGGAAAAGAATGTCTTCCCATTATTATTTATATTATTAATTTGGCAGTAATACAATCAATATGGATTAAAAAAAAATAGTTTTTCGCTCGTCAATAGTAAAATGTCTGCATTATTATATATACACACGTTTATATATATGTATTTATAATAAAAAAGAAAAGTGAAGGAACGACATGAAGAAACAGAAACAAATTTATAAAACTGAGCCACACAAAATAGAATTTAATGGTCTCGGAGAAAATGTTCCATTTATTAATTTATTTAGTTTATTGCAAATGAAAACATCGTACAAGATGATCTCTAATGGCTAGGAAATGTGGCGCATATTCTACTGGGAAAAACATTTTTATTTTCTCTTATTTATTTTTTCCCCTTTGATTCTTTTATCTCTTCTCCTTCGTCTTCCTCTTCATAAATGTCTTCCTCCTCAATGTTTCCAACAACATCACCAGCCTCACCACTAATAATAGCTTTCATCTCATCTGTCAAATATGTGTTAATCTCTTCTTGTAATATGAGTAAAGTGTTAGAAAGCGATTTGAGTTGATCTTTACTTTGATTGTTTTCTGTAGTTGTAGTCTCTGGAGATGAAGGTAAAATGTGTGTGAATTCTTTTACGAGTGTTCCGGATTTCGTGTATGTTGATCGAACTATCTTGTCAGTGTTTTTTATGTTAGACATTTTCGTTTATTAATTTTCCAAAATTAAATTCGCTCATTTTTTGTACTTTATTGATCGATATGTCACATGACAAAAGATAATGCGACGCGTCTAGCTTACTTAGAGGGAATTTCTTGGCTAAGACTCAATCGACATACAAGTTTAAATTTGGATAAGTTTGGCTGGGAATAATTTATTATTTTGATTCGTGGGAAAGATTATCGTTATTTTGGGTGTTTAATAAAAAACATTTTCCTTCTCATTGACACGAGTTTATAATAATCCAAGGGAAACTTATGTATGCAAAAAAACAAAAGCTTATGCATTGGATAGTGAACTCAAAACAAAAATATCCACACTCTTTCTGAGACCCGTTGTATTCATATTGAACAATACATAGCAATAGCTCATTCTCCCAGAACGAATATTATACTGGCCTGATTAATTTATTAATTTCTTGCAGCATCAGATACATCGACTTCCACTTCACTTCTGGTATTAATGAATTCATTTGTTCATTCATCTCGGGGTATCATTGCTTTCACCGTCACTCGGTTCATTGACTTCTCTTTCTCAAAATATATTTAAATTATGACCATTCATTTCGTCAACTATATTAGCCACCTCAAATGAACCATTTTATCCACGTGATAGAACTAATTTTTTCCACACGATAATTCTAACTATTTTGGATCCTTATTATTAATATTGCCTTGTAATAATATTTTCGTTATATTAGAGAAGTGCTGGAAAAACGAGTAATTTTGATCGAAGTTCGACGTCAATAAAAAATTAAATGACGTCTTTTTATTTGAATTGCTCGAGCATTTTATTTTATGACCTAAAAAATATATACATTATTAATATTCGTTGTATTTTAGTTTTTCAATTCGCATTTACCATATTTCTACGTATCAAT